AGAAGGTAGAATACATGATAGTAGGAGTATACTAACTGTCATTTACGACTTTCATCATTGTTTACTACAAGTTACCACCCACATACCATAGTGGTAAAGTATGGTAATATTTTGTCCAGTATTTTTTTCACCCAGAAATTTGTAGATCCCAAAGATCATGATGAACTCGTTCCTTCTGAGCAAACGTTTTCAAAAACAATTGAAATCCATTGGTTACCATATGGTATGTAGTTGGTAAAAAAAAAGTTACCGTATGGCAATTAAAGACATTTTATTTTCCCTAGTTTTCATAATCGGCTCTTATCTTCTTCGTTCTAACTCGGATTTCAAATTTTTTTTTTTGCACAGATGGAAAGAGTTCGTTGTGCTCTACAAAATGAGATCAATTTTCAATATATTTCGAGAAACCTTTTTTTTACCAACTACATACGATATGGTAACTTCTTCGTTTTTAAGTTGTTTTTGAAAACGTTTGCTCAGAAGGAACAAGTTCATCATGATCTATTGGATCTATAAATTTCCGGGTGAAAAAAATACTGGACAAAAAATTACCATACTTTACCACTATGGTCTGTGGGTGGTAACTTGTAGTAAACAATGATGAAAGTCGTAAATGACAGTTAGTATACTCCTACTATCATGTATTCAACCTTCTTACCATATTGGTATGTTCATACCATCATGGTACGCTTTCTTACCATATGGTATTAAATAGGAGCATACCATATGGTAATGACTGGTAAAAGATTAATCAATTTTTTTGTACTAAAAATATATCAAAGTGGATATCATTTTAAAGAGCACATTTAATATGATTTATTTGTGCAAAAAAAATATTAAATTTCGGCTTAAAACGAGAGAGAAATGGTCCGTTAAAGATTAAAGAGGAAAAGATAAAAGACTTTCAAGGAGAGAGAGGGATACTAATGTCATGCTTAGGGCTGGAAGTTTGGTACCGGTATTTGGGATATACCGAATACCGTACCGAATTTATCTTTATTTGGTATTACCGAATACACGTATTATTTCTTGGGATTGGATTTCAATTGTAATTTGGTATTATGGATTTCCCTATTGGGATCGGTATATACCGAAATACCGATCAATACCGAAATATAAGCTAGTGTGTATTTTATCCTCTCAACTAAACTTTCTCATTCACTACTACACGACCCTCAACCACCAAGAGTGTCATTTAATTATACATAGATCATTCGATCTCTATTTCACAACTTATAATTTCCCATCCACCTCAATTTTGACTTTCCAATTTAAGTAATTCTCGTCTCTCATCTAATCACTTGTTATTTTCATAATACCAAAAATCAAACAGTAGTATTAGTCATCTCTCGGCCTACAACTCGTAAAATCAAAGATTACCAATTGACAAGAACTTGAGATGCTACCTCTCCTCCATTCTCCTTATCCATATCCTAGCTCTAGGCAAACTCAAGACCCTTTGCTTAGTCTCTTTTCCCTAAATTAAACAATCAAATATAATTTATATATTTAATTGTTAATTGCAAAAGTAATTAATTTCGTATTTGATAATACCGATTGGGATACCTAAACACTGATTGGGATTGATTTTAGGGTGTAATTCGGTATTCGGGATTTCAGCATTTGGTAGAAGGATACCGATACCCAGGGGCGGACCTAGGGCAAGGGGAGGGGTGTCGTCCGACACCCCTCCGCCCGAAAATTTTGTGAAGGACCTCCATTTTTTCAGTACAAAATTTTTTAATTTGGAACTTCCGACACCGCTCTAATAATTATAAGCGACACACTTTCATTATATGACAATAGTTTTAATGTTATAAAGTTATTCATCATAATTAATAGGGTTAATACCTTAGTTTGGCCCGAACTATACACATACTTTCTACTTTGGCCCGTTTTATTGAATATTGCTACTATGGCCTGAACTATGTAGCAAACTTCCTCATTTGGCCTGGAGGCGGGTTTGACCGTCAAAACAGACGGTCAACCAAGTTAACCGTTAGTCAATATACACGTCACCTGCCACGTAGACATTAAAAATTATTTTTTTTCTACCAAAAATAAAAAAAAGAATTAATTTCTTTTTACAAAAAATAAAAAATAAAAAAATTAATAATTTCTCCCTTTTAAGCTTTTTCCCCCATTTCAAAGAGAGATTCCTTCACTCATTCACTCACCCACTCAATCCCATTGCTCCCATGGGTTGCTCCATCTCCAGATTCACCATCCTCTCGTCGCTGCACACCCACCACTCCCTTCTCGTCGACCAGCCGCCGTCAATCCACGCCTTCCACCCAGGTCCCGCCACCGGCCGACGAGCGGTCTCCCACCCCGCCCCGCTCGTCCACCACCCGCCGTCGGGGAAAGGCCATTCCGAGCATCTGGTGTACTTAACCTCCACCACATACGGCTCCGTCCTCCACATTCCTCCTCCGCCTCCTCCCCCACCGCCGCCGTACAAGCCCGTGGAGGAAGAGTTCGGTGAGCCGGTTGCCTCCCTCGACTCCGTAATCAACGCCTAGGAACTAATGGACGGCCTCGACAACGGCAATGGCAATGTGGGTGTTGATTTTAATTTGGGGAAACCTCAGCCACCGACGAGGAATTCGTGCTGGGTCGAGGAATTAGGGCTTCCGGACCAGCCGGAGAAGAAATTGGGGTCGCCGTCGAAGCCGCTGTGGAAGCATTTCTCGGAGGAGTCGTTTCTGTTGAAATTGGACCCGGTCGTGGTCTCCAGCTACCGCCGCGCATTGTTCGGCAAGAGCAATCCCAAAAAATCAGTACATTCCGACTCCGAATTTGGCTGCTCCCCTCAACCAGTCTGCGCCGCCGACGGCTGCGGCGGCAAGGGGGAAGGTGGTAGAAAAAAAAATTAATTTATTATTTTTTATTTTTTGTAAAAAGAAATTAATTCTTTTTTTATTTTTGGTAGAAAAAAAATAATTTTTAATGTCTACGTGGCAGGTGACGTGTATATTGACTAACGGTCAACTTGGTTGACCGTCTGTTTTGACGGTCAAACCCGCCTCCAGGCCAAATGAGGAAGTTTGCGACATAGTTCAGGCCATAGTAGCAATATTCAATAAAACGGGCCAAAGTAGAAAGTATGTATATAGTTCGGGCCAAACTAAGGTATTAACCCTAATTAATAATTAACCATAATAAGTAAAATCAAATAAGCATGCTTGTTTTAAGTAACCCACAACCCAATTTAACTTGTCGATTTGCAATTAATAGGTGAATTGCGTATATTTATGGGAAATTGTGGTTTGATTTTGGTTAATTTGATAGAATTAGAGAAAAAATGCTAGGGGTCGTTTGGATGGATCTATGTGATGAGGCAATTTGCCCAAATTGCCTCAAAATGAGACAATTGGTGTAAATTGTCTCATTTGGCAAATCAAAAAATGAATGAGTCAATTGGGCTTGGGGAAATGTTAATTGCTTCATTTTGGGTCATTTCAAATTACCTGGGTTGGGGGTATGTTTTCTGAATTGGCTCGTTTTTGTGGGCCTCTTCCAAAAGTAACCTTTTCTTTTCATTTTCTATTTTCTTCCATTCTTCATCTCTCTCCCTCACTCTGCTCTGAAACATAGAGACCCAGTTCATCACCGATTCCAGCAATTTCCCCACTTCAACTTCCACCGCTCTATTCTTCGATCTCCTCCGTTCAATTTTCACACCCTCGGCGTCGCCACTTTGCTTGCTGCCAATTGCAGTCTCTTATCCGTAGGCATGCTCGAGACCTAGGCGACCTTGGCTCCATCCTCACCAGGCTCAACTGCCAAGTCAACGATGGCGAGATTCTCATCCGCAGCAGGGTCCTCCACGATGCCATTTCTGGGTCCTTCTCCAAGCGCGATGTTGTTCTGGCCGAGTTCAGGAACTTGTTGACCCGACTCTAGATCAGGTGCGCGAATAGAGGAACTGGGCGATAGACTGGTTCCTACGTATGTTGCGTGAAGATGAATAGGATAGCCAGGTCAAGGGATCGTTCCGATCCTTGTTCGATTGCTCGATTCCATCTATGGGGAGATGAAACCCAGAGTTAGCTTTCACAATTTGTCGATTTCTGATTTTAATGTTTAATCAATCTTCTTGTTTTCTTCCTCTGAATCTCTGAATGCTTGAATGTGGTTTGTTTATGTTCTAATTGGAATTTGGCTTTGTTCGATACAATGATTCCCAAAAGGGATTTTGGGTCATTTGATTTCTTATTAGGATTTTCCCCAATATTGATTGGGATGTTTAGTGTTCATGTTTGTTGGTGTATGAATTCATGGGGTTCTGGTTACGAGTTAGAGGAAGATAAGAGAGTAAAAGAATGAGGGTAAAAGTGTATTTTCAGACAATGACTCATTCTAATTGTCTCATATCAATTAACAAACCAAACGAGACAATTCTGTACAAATATCTCATACAATTGTCTCATTTTTTAAAATGAGACATTTGATTCAAATTGCTTCATTTTAGAAATGTTCCATCCAAACGACCCCACTATTGATATTACTTTAGGCATACTTTGTTTTTTTCTAAAATTGCCGATTGGTAGCAAACTAATTTATTTTAACTTAATTTGATTTTAGACGTATGTCGATTCTCTTTGGTTGAGTGACTAATTTATGAATGATTATGTAGTTGTGTATATAGAAAAATGTTTGATTTGCATCATAAACGACGAATATATTTAAAAAAAATCTCAGGATATGAAAAATCATCATAATTCGTAGTAAACATGACTTTGTGAACTTATAACTGAATTTCCAGTAATTTCTATTAAATTTTTATTTAATTATTTATAATTTTTTATCGGCGACACCCCTCTTCAATAATCCTGGGTCCGCCACTGCCGATACCGTACCGATTTCTACTCCTATTATGCTGATGTAAAAGTGTTACTCATGGTTACTGACCTAATCCATTCCGTAGAATTCTGTTTCCCACCTCCTTTCAATTAAAAAGAAGTCATCAACCTCAAATTCGACAACTTGAATAGGGAGTCCATCAGTCTTGACTTGAGCTCCCTTACAAGTTACATCTCCGGTGGTGGACTGTGGATAGCCAACCGATGGCGGAGAGACGAAATTTGGATTCGCTCGGTAGGGACGAGAGAATCCAAATCCCACCCTGCACCTGGGCCACATAAAATAGAGCGCGCCTGTTAAACCGGCCATCGTCGACATTCAGCCACAGACAGACAGACCTTCTCAGTCCCTTTCGTTGTAGTTATCGATCGGGACGAACATCACGCAACCGCAGGCTCGAAGACGCCCACCAGAAGTCAAGTCTCACCTTTCCCACCCCAGAAAAATAGAAATCCCCTTATCTATCGAAATTGGCAACTTCTATGTCCTCCTTATATCTCCTCCCGCCCTTCTCTGCACGGTTCAGGTAATGCTGTGAAACTTGCTGGTGAACTGGAACGCCCGCAGGTTTGACGAATGGGGACGGGAACGTCCAAGGACGCCGACGGCGTGGCTCACGATGAGAGCGACGACCGAGATGGAAGTCTCGACCAGGCCGGCGGCCAGCTGTATGTGTCTCTGAAAATGGAGAATTACAAGCTTAATGGCGAGATTATCCCTCACGTCTACGGCTCTGTCCCTCTCGTTGGCTCTTGGGATCCTTGCAAGGCTGTGAGTAGCTTGTGACTTCTTCTTCTTGTTTACTGTAATTGGTACCTGGTTAGGTGTTCATTGCTTCCGTTGTGCTTGTAGCTGTCAATGGAGCGCGAATCGGCTTCAATGTGGGAACTGAGTTTTGTTGTTCCTCCTAACCACGGTATGGTAGCCGAAAGTAGCTCTTCTTCTCATTCTCCTTCCGTTCCGTCAAAGCTTTGCTGTTTGCTGGCTGAGAAATTGCATTGAAATGAAAGTGAAGTTGATTCTAAAGCTTCGTTTTGCTTTTGCATTGGCCACACTGTAATGGTACTCCTATTAGTATAATTGAATTTGATGGTGCTAGCTGTGTTATTGTAATGCATTATAATGCATATGCTTTTGAAGTAGCAGAATCTTAGTTGGGAAGGCCTATTCAGTGTATTCCCCCTATCTAGCTAGCAAATACTCCTTTGTATTTTTGGTTGAACCCTTGTAGCCTTCGTGTTTAGTGACTTTTGTATGTTGTACTCTGTGTTCAACGCAGAAACTTTGGATTTTAAGTTCCTTCTGAAGCCAAAGTATGGCAGCGCTCCTTGTGTGATCGAGGAGGGGGCCCACCGGGTTTTCTCCAGGGGTGCTTTGCAAGGAGAATCAAGGCTGGCTGTGTTTAGAAACGGTGAGGAGACTTTGGAACATAAAATCTTCATAAAGGCTGATCAAGTTTCTCCATTTGATCTTGCGGCTAGTTGGAGGGCTTACCAGGAGAATCTTCGGCCTTCAACTGTTCGCGGGATCCCTGATGTTAGTATCAATTCTGCACCAATTGCTGGAGCTGAGGTGTGCTTACTTTGGAAACTGATAACTCCTCAGTAAAAGCTAGAGTGTGTGTCTACTTTTTAATATTTTCACTTCAGTCCAAATGAAACACATGGACTTTAGCGGATGAGGTTTGTTTGGGAAAGGAGAGCTTGCCAAAATTGCGTCAATTTGACTGAAGCATGTTTCCCTGAGCTCCACTTAAATGTGCCTAAATTTATTAACTGATAGGCACCCTAGCTAATAGTTTTGGACCTTCTTCTCCATGTACCCGTTCTTTGGAGCTTCCTCTCTATAATTATTTGGTCCTTCAGGCTATAGTGTAGCACTTTAGGTCATACCACTCTTCTGCAATATTTAGTGTTGAAAAGTTGTTTTCAACTATTTGTTTATTGCAAACAACTTGTTAGCGTTTGGTTAAGATCATATAATTTCATACGTTAGCTAAAGAAAAGGTCATTGGATCTGTCTCCAGAATGGATGTTCTGCCAGTTTGGAGCTTGATCTTGAACACTATCTTGTTCCGGCTCCATCAACTTCTGCAAACTCAGGAATGGTGTATGCTGCTAACAATGCGGAGAATCCAAGGTTTACAATTACTGATGCAGCATGGTATAACTCCTATTCATTCAAGGATGCCAGTATTTCTTCTGATCGTCCACCAACTTATAAGGTTCATCTTGGTAACCCTCTTTGAAATTCATCCATTCATGTCTCGCTTCTACTACTAATGGTTTCTGCCTACTGGTGAAGCCTCTTCATTGGTAGTCGACTTACAAGGCTTTTTGTGGGTTTCTGTTGTCGTTCTCTCATATTCTTGTTCTCTAGCTATTTAAATAAACAGCTCGGCTAATCTTTTTAGGGCATTGAGGTTGTGATCCCAGATCCCTCCAAAGCATATCCTGGTACTGGAATGGTTGACTCAAAGTCGGTGGGGACTTTTTCGCCTCTGCAAAGGCAAGATAGTCACAGGGGGCTCTTTGTGGACAGGGGGGTTGGATCTCCTAGACTGCCTAAATCACCAAGTTCAAGTACATTCACATTTGATCTTAAACACGAGGCGGCGACCAAGGTTTGCACCAAGTACCAATGCATTCTTTGTAGTGGCCCGATTGTTTACTGTTTGTTTTATCTGTAGAGACAAATTTTAGGCAGGTTTTTGAGTTTGTGTCTTATACTCTCAGAACTTGATGCCAGCAGCTGCTGGAGCTGTCGCTGCTGCTGCTGTAGCCGATCAGATGCTTGGTCCAAAGGAAGACAAACATTTGGCAATAGTTCTGGTATCAACTGACATAAGCATTATTTAGAAATTTAGAGTTCTAGGTGCTCTCGTTTCCAGTTTGATTTTAGTTTTAGCAACACGAGATAATCAAGATATTTGCCATATGAAGAACCTTAAAACAGGTCGTTCAATTTTGCTACACATCTTGGTAGATCTCGTAAATGTAAAGGTTCTTAAGCTGATCGTTGATAATTCTTACTGATGAATTCTCTACAATGTCGTAACCTTAGGTTGGTCTTCCTGCTCGGGGAAAGACCTTCACTGCAGCTAAACTCACTCGTTATCTTCGCTGGTTGGGTCATAACACAAAACATTTCAATGTTGGGAAGGTCGGTTTTATTTATTTAAGCTATACTTTTCTTTCTTTTAAGTTGAACATATATACTTATTTTTTTCATTTGGTTTGACAGTATCGACGTATTAAGCATGGCACTATCCAGGTATGTTTATGTCCTCTGCTCACTCGTTCTTCAATGTTTCCCTTTTGCTCAGAAATTAAACTGGCTGATAACTAAATGATCTGAACTTCTTTTTATTATTATTATTATTATTATTATTATTATTATTATGTTGTAACTAAGTAATTGTACTTTGTCTCAGTTAATGAGGATTTGGTACAAGATCAGCAGCTAGCACACCCATGTCCTCTCAGTCTTCTAGCTTCTTTTTGTTTAGAGAGTTGGTATATTTATGTGGTTTATCATTGCATGTGCCCTGCACTTGGTTACTGTAAAAGGACTCTTGCTTTTCTCTTCAAGACATGTATAATCAGCTCGTTCAGTAGGATACCTTAAGTGATTGTTTGATATACAAATCTAGGTCAATAAGGTAGTTGAAAAGTCAACTAATAGCCAAGTGTGTACAAATGTTATTTTTTAAGTCAGCTACTGACATTCTTTATTTGGTCCTTTGCTTAAGAATATTCCGATATTATAATCCAATTGTTCTTAGACGCTTTTTGCTGATGCAGAATGCTGATTTTTTCCGTGGCGACAATCCTGAAGGCGTGGAAGCACGTAATGAGGTAACTGTTTATAATTCTATTTGTCTGTATAATTCATAGATCGATTTTTTGCGGGGCCTCAAGTAAAAGATTTTAGAATTCTTAGAGCTTACAATTTACAAAGTGTAATTCAACATGGCCTAGGTTCACAACTTAGGACAAATCTTCACCTTCAATGACTTTAAACAAAACATCATATGTGTTTCACTTTTACGATATGCTGGACTTGCTGATTTGAAATTTTTTATGCAAGCGATTGATGACTAATTTGCATGGACAGTTTCAGTATTTGAGTCTTCCTTGCTGCTCCTTAGAATGATAGAAGTAGTTTGCGTCCGGCATTTTTCAGTCTTTAACTAAACATGCACGAATCTCAGCCGTTTCTGCTGATTAACTGATCAACATTGACATTATATGGACATTGGACTTACAAAGCAACATGACTTGCTCCTTCAAAATTTGCATGAGCTTGATTTTCCATGAACTCCTCTGTGAATTTGTTAGGCAGATGAAATCAACTTTACATATTACAACATTCCATGCCAATGATGTCTAATTCAGAGAAAAATAACTTTGATTTAGACATGCTTCTGGCTTCTGGCTTCTGGCTTCTTTGTAGCTTGCAAATATACTTTTTCAGGTTAGGAAACTAAGTACATTGATGCACCTGAGTTCACTTTTATGTTGTTTGTCTTCTATGATTTTGACTCACAGTTTCCAGGTGTCAAATGATAATTGATGACTATGCCTATAAAACTGAAAGCAGTTCATGTCACTATGTCAGCTGCTGAGTTTTGTTTTCATGGGCCGAGACTGGAGAGTCTTAACCCTGCCCCTCTACGTTCTCTTGTTATCTGTGCATTTGTTATCCCCACAATTTTGAGCACTTAAAATGATTCTTGAAACAGTGAAGAGTTTGGGTGATTGGATGAAAACGATTTTAAGCTGTCCATTCAAATTAAACCTTAAACTATTGAGTTCTATTCTTCCTTAGTGAACTGGCTATTGCAACACCATATTAACCGTCTGCTTTCTACATAGTTTAATTGTATCACATGCTACTAGGTAGCAGCACTAGCAATGGAAGACATGATTGCTTGGATGCAAGAAGGTGGGCAGGTATGTTGGCTTGTTTCAGATTGTAAGATAAGTTCTTTTGCTTATACTGTTTCTTAGTAGTTCATTTTTTCACGCACTTGTAGGTAGGAATATTTGATGCCACAAACAGTACCAGGGAAAGAAGGAACATGCTGATGAAAATGGCTGAAGGAAATTGCAAGGTACAATGAAATGATCACATGATGATTAAGCTAGGATTATTACAGAACAAATGCATATGAGCATGCTTACGATTTCTCCTTTTTGTAGTGTCGTAACTGTTTATCTCTTCAATCAAAATATATTAAAGCACTTCTAGAATATAACCCGTGCCACATCAGCCTTCCACGGCTCCCCGTAATTTTCACTGTTTTTTCTCTTCCAACCGCCAGCCACTACTTATTCGCATTTTTATTTCCTTTTTCAGTTAAACTTTCTTTCTATGCGGTTTCTTTCATTTTTTCAATTAATACTAATAATATTTAGTGAAAGCAATTTTCGACCTACTATTATTTTTAAAAAATGGATGGTGTTGTGCGTTGGAATCAAACTTATAACTTAGTGCTGTGAAAAATAATTTAATTAGGGTTAAGATAAACTGAACTCTTTTATATGTAATGTAATATATGTTTAGGTGTTAGGAATAGATGCTTGTCTAGGATAAATCTTAAATTTCACGATATTTATAATAATTTGAATACTTTTATGAGAACGTCAATTGGCAAACAAATATGAATTTACTATTAAAGTGACACAGTTTAAAATATACTGGAAACCTTTGGTGTGTTATAGACACGCTCTCAACCAAAATACATGTAATACAGTTTGGAAGTATACCATAAAGGACCATGTCAACGGAGGAATCCTTAATAATATGTATGTCCAGTGTTTTGGACTGGGAATCAATAAAATTTAGTACCGGATCATCGATAAAGAACAATCCCAGCCAACAGGACGGGGACAAAGCTTGTTACTATTTAGTGCTGTTATTTGGATCATCAGGACGTCCTTTACTTGAAATTAATTGATTATCTTCTTACATGTGCTTTCTCAATGCAGATTATATTTTTGGAAACTTTATGCAATGATAAACGCATTATTGAGAGGAACATTCGCCTTAAAATCCAGCAAAGCCCTGACTATTCTGAACAGTACGTCAAACTGAAATTATTGGTATATTATCTCTGGAAAGGATAAAAACTTCAACTGGTGTTTTTGCAGGCCCGATTTTGAAGCTGGATATGAAGACTTCAAAAGTCGGCTAGATAATTATGAAAAGGTGGGGTTTGGCTGCTAATTGTACATACTTTTGCATTACTGTTTAGAGTTTACTACAAGTAATTATATATGTTTTCTTTTATTGGTAGGTCTACGAACCAGTTGAAGAAGGTTCTTACATTAAAATGATAGACATGGTCAGTGGTAATGGTGGGCAAATTCAGGTATGCTTTCCTCATATGCCTGTTCTCCTGATCAGAAAATCATAAGTTGCTCATATCCCTATTTTTTCAATCTTTATGTTCATCTTAAACACAAATAGAGCACCTTGGCATTCCCCCAAATGGATTTCAAAGACAAATTAATCTTATTCCAGTTTTTATATTACTTATTTCCCTTGGTCAATACTTGAATGTTTATGAATAGAACTATAGAAAGACTTAGTTGAGAATAAGATGCGGATTGACAAGAATTGACCACTTGAGGCTGGAGGTAGCTCATTGGACCTGCTAAAGTTTGACTATCATTTGCTTAATTAACGTATAGGAGAAACACAACTTCACAAAATAGTCTACAGCATTCATGGTCTCTGCATTTCCACATATAGGTTGCAGCAAAATTTCTCAGCCATTCTTTGTTTGTGTTAAATTGGTTAGATGGTCGTGCATTTTGTATGCTAAACTTGACACACCCGCCTCTTTTCATCATTTCATAGTAGCTATTCACAGCCGTTGCTACTCACAGCACATGTATAAAGGTCTATTGATTTGTTCAGAACTTATGTAGTTTCTTTTTTGATTGGATGAGATTCATTCATCAGCCTTCTTTGCGTTCCAGGTGAACAATATAAGTGGCTACCTTCCGGGACGCATTGTCTTCTTTCTGGTAAGTTGCTATGCTTTTGTGGAGATGTAGAGCAGTTGTCTTACTATGTTACTTAACATGACATGATTATGGCCTAAGAAATTTTCATCCATCATGAGATGATTACTGTGTTTGGTCTGTGGTATTGTCAAAGAATATTAAACTCTTGGTTCAAATATTCTTATACAGGTGAATATGCATCTCACGCCTCGTCCAATATTACTTACAAGGCATGGAGAAAGCCGATACAATGTTAGAAGTAGAATTGGAGGTGATTCTTTGTTGAGGTATCTTATCTTATCCTCTATACATTTTCATTTTTTATTTCTCTTTTCAGCTTATCTTATCCATGTTGCCCAAGTCTATATATCCTTGCCCTAATCTGCTGAGGCAAATGTGTTTTAACTATTGATGTTCCTAGTAAACAGAATTTACTTGACCTTCCCTCTCTTGCAGTGATACTGGAGAAATATATTCCAAGAAGCTTTCAAACTTCGTCGAAAAGCGACTGAAATCTGAGAAAGCAGCTTCTGTAAGCTTCTTTGATATCATCAATAACCTATTTTTCCTTGCATGGTGAAATGCGCTTCGAATTGTGGAAACTGACTATGATGCCATTGTTTGTCACATAAAAGATTTTCAGATATTCAATGATTAATTGTTAACTTGCACGCTTAACTGTGATCTAGATTTGGACTAGCACACTGCAAAGGACAATCCTAACAGCAGGTCCAATTGTTGGGTTTCCCAAGGTACACAAGAAAATCAAACAATATTACCCATTTTCTGGTATTCTAACGAAAACAAGTGTTTTCATGCAAATTTCATAGGATAGTATAAGTCTCACTTTTTGTTCACCTAGATCCAATGGCGTGCACTGGATGAGATAAATTCTGGAGTGTGTGATGGAATGACGTACGAGGAAATAAAGAGGAACATGCCGGAGGAGTACGAGTAAGTTCATTAATTCGACACTCTCTAACGTTCTTACTTGACTGACCTGGATGACTATGGCTTTGCTACCCATTCTTACTTCTCTTATTGTGTATTCCTAATTATCAGGTCCCGGAAGAAGGATAAGTTGAGGTACAGGTATCCGCGTGGAGAATCCTATCTGGACGTCATTCAGAGGTTTATGTTCTGGCCATTTAGTGTTACTTCTCAGCACTACTTACTCACTTTTGGTTGAAAACAACAAGCTTACCGTCCACTTGGGATATACCACAGGCTGGAGCCAGTAATCATTGAACTCGAGAGACAAAGGGCACCTGTTGTGGTTATCTCTCACCAGGTTATGCATCTCAAACTTTTTCAGAAACTACTTTGTGTTAGTGACTACTGTCTGGGTTTCGGACACTAACGGCTGGTTCGTTATATTTGCAGGCAGTATTGAGGGCTCTGTATGCTTATTTTGCTGATAGGCCTCTGAAAGAAATTCCACATATCGAGGTAATCTAGCGGATACGCCAAGTAGTCAGATGAACTGTATTCCTCATTCTTTTGTTCAAAGTTAAACACACATTTCGTGTAGTTTGTTGTTAAGCTAACATTCCGGTTTCCATGACTGTTGGTTGTTTTAGATGCCACTGCATACAATCATCGAGATACAGATGGGAGTTACTGGCGTGCAAGAGAAAAGATACAAACTCATGGACTGAAAATTGTGTTTGTAGCCTAGAAACACAGAACTGGTAACTGTCACTGTAAATTTTCATTCCTGTTATTACTGAAACGCAATATTGGCACGATCATATCACAGGAAAAAAGGTAAAGATGCATAAAATGTATGATAGAAATAGCCAAATCTCTTGCCTACCAACCCGACCAAACCCTAGTAAAGTCACTTCTATATATGATCTCATCATCTCATAAGGCCTTGGACGTGTCTGCCGGGAAACTGATTATAGGCACGATCGCCGTATGAAGAAAGAAAGGAAGAAGGGAGATCAAGCATCGATGGCGGCTGAGTGTTTGTCAACGAAGTGCCAACCGAAGGGTCTCGCTTGGAAGCGATGTTGTGCTTTCAAGTGAGACCCTCCGCTGCTGGAGCTTTGTTGAGAATGAGCACTCAGGCTAGCGACAGCTGCACTGAAACAACGATGGTTGGTAAATGTTAGCATTTGGTCGGGATGTACCTTAGCCAACTAACCAACGTTCTCCATCGATTCTTGATCTTCTTTCCTAATTCAATAACTGTGTCGATTCTTAGATCAACGTTGTGACATTTTTGTTAGGAATCCCTATCGATATAACGACTGAAGTGGACAATAAAACTGTACAAGTGTTACCATCCCCCATACTGTAAAGCAAGGATAACCGAGTTGTGCAGCATTTTGATGCATGAGATTGCAGATAGCCTTTGTCATCTATTTTCGGTGGGGAGAGATTTATTGTTACAGCTTCGGAGCCTGAAATGTATAATAAGCCTTTGTCATATTCTTCACGGGTATCGTGGGAGACTTGAGGGTGGGTGAGATGAAGGGCTTGCCGTCGCCTTCACGAGTCTTTCATTTTGCGGCCCTCTTTGCCAATGCCATAATCAGATAATCTCTTCCCCCCTTTGATTCCCTTTTCTTTCTTCCCCCTTCCCTTGAATGCAGGAATTTGTCCCTTCACCCGCGCAATAAACAAATGGGTTTTCTTTCCCCAAATTCAGTTCCAGACTCCGTGTTCTCCCTGCACTACGCACTGCCACGCATATCCCGCAATATTTTCCCCAAGCAATTAGTCAAACTTCTTCTAACTTCATTTTCACGTAACGCCCCCCCACCCATTTTCACATGCACACCCCATATATTGTTACATCTACGCAACTCTTGAATCTTGCTTCTCTTCAGTCTTCAAACCCCGCACTAGTTTAGTTAGAGATCGATGAGCGATCTACTCAGCAGCATATCGTCCTCATCGTACGACAGCAGCAACCTGCTGCTGGCCGCTTTCATCTCGTTGCTACTAGTCATCCTCTTCGTCCTGCTCCTTCACATCTACGCCAAATGGTACCTCTCCCGTCGGATGAGGACCACCACCGTCATCACCTCGCTCACCCTGCAGCCGCCCTCCGTAATCAACTACCGCTATCACTTCCAAACCCATCCTCCCCTGGCCACCGCAGACCACGAAGAAGGCGATCAAGCCAGTGGTGGTGGCGGCGGCGGGCTCAACCCGTCCGTCATTGCTGCAATTCCGTTGTTCGTGTACATCAACAGCAGGAGTCGTCGGAGTAGTAGCAGCAGCGGTGGTTGGATGGAGGAGCAGCAGGGGAGCAAGAGTGGCGTTGTTGTGAATGTTAAGTACCAACATCAGTGTGTGATTTGCTTGAGCAGCTTTGGCGATGGGGAAGTTGGTAGGTGCTTGACTGGTTGCGGACATGGTTTTCACGTTGACTGCATAGACATGTGGCTTCTTTCTCACTCCAATTGTCCCATCTGCCGAGCTCCGGCAGCTCCCCTGCCTCCTGCTGCTGCCGCCGCCGCGGCAGATTCCGCTGACGGTGTTGCTCCGAGTAAAGCTGAAGATGATGGTGAGGAGGTTTGTGTGTTGATCAGTGGCAGTGGAGAGTCGTCTGTGGCTGATGATAGAGTGTAGAATGTGTTTCCGAGGCATATCATTTTTCGGGTGTTTGAGATGGGAGTGATGGCTGCTATCTTGTGCTGCTGTCAAAATCAGCATAATCTTTCCATCCTGTTAATTATTAGATTTGATTTTTTGTTAGTGTTGCGATGATTTGGGGAAGAGGGTGTTCAAACGCAGAGTAATGTTTAATAATTTACCAGTGTCTCTAATCAAGACCCGAAAATAGACATTGTACAATTAGTTGACTTCAACAAGGAACAGTAAAACACACAATGTGATCAAGATATGTCTGTGTTTTTGCAGGCGATAAATTCTTCCTGTTTGAACATGATTAATGTACCTTCACTTTTTTTTTACGATTTTAAGACACAACTCAAATCTCTTTATATATAATTTAAATGAAGGTATTTGATTTATAATTGTTTTTTGGTAACACAACTACATTAAGTTATCCTTAATGGAGGTTCAGTAAAGAGTTTCAAACTATGACTATTACTATGCCGAAAAAGATAAAAACTTAACATAGGTGTCATGTGCATGATTACAAAAAAATCCCCTCCCTTTGTTGACTCTTCTTATTTATAGCCACAGGTGATAAAAACAATAGAGAATCATCACCTTGGGAACTGCTACAAAGAACTGCCCTCTTACTCGGACGTGACTTGTGTGTCTTCGAACACATGATGAGTGATAGTTGTTCCCTCAACCCCCGAAACACCTCTCTAGCAATTGTCATGTGTCTTGAAGTGTAGTTTTTTTTTTACTTTGCCACATTTCAAACTTCATGCCTTGTGATGAGATCTCCTGCCATGCCGGGACTCATGGGGAGCCTATGATCGTCTCATCTCTCAGCTCTGGTCGTTTCCCGATGCATCTTTGCTAGGTTAAGACCTGGCGAGGAGCTAGCTTCCACATGGTAAGAAGGCCACACCTTTTTTAACGCATGCCCATGGTCATTTTCCTGTGCGGCCTCAGGACCATAAACTGTGTTATTGTGGCATGGTCCTTGACGAGAAGGCCATGTCCCATTGACTCTTAGTCATGCTCCTGTTGTACTTAGCTTCTTTGGCTTAAAAACTATAGCTACACAAATCCAACTCAAATTAATTAGTTAATTGTTACAATTGAGTTGGTCTTATAGGAGCATTAGCTACCTTGGACACAATCAAGGTGATATTGATGTATTTTTTGGTGAAAAATGAATGCAGATCACCAATACCTCTTACTCGTTTAGTCAATCTAGGGAAAGAACTCCCAACAAGATCATACATAGACCAATGTTTGATATGAAAATCATAGAATGCAAACATAATGAGTCCTTTTGCGTGCTGGTTGTGAAAATCTCCTATTGCTAAGAGGAGTGTGGCGAAAATAGAAGGATTGATCCATACATCTAGTCGGTATCTTGCATCCCATGCGAGCTCCAAGCCTTTGACTATCGCCCAAATTCCATTTGAGTGATCGTAGATTTTATAATATTCATTTTGTAAGCCCTCAATAAACAACCCGTCAGTCTCTAAGCACACCTCCAATGACGGTTGACCCGAATTGTCGCAAAATCAAACCATCAGAGTTCAGTGTGATCCACTCTATCGGGTCTGATCTTCTCCCACGGTCACGCTTTTACTATACCCCAATCTCCCAAGTGATATAATGTGGTATCTTGCTGTACTATATTGTGGTATTTTCTCCTAGCTAGGAAAGGATTTTTTGCGCTAGCTTATTAGGTTATTCCACAATAGCTATGAAAACAAGATCGTTCCGAGAACGCCAAAGAAACTTAAAAGGAATGAAAAATAGAAGTGTTTGTTGTACCAAAACATGCTGGTGGTTAGCTATCTACTTTTCCATTATAGTTTTCTTATTTTTGTTTTTCGAAAATTAAAATTAATCAACTAACTGGTTTTTAATTTTAAGCGTGTCACTTTTAAAGACAATGTTTATCCCTGATTTAATTTTCATTTTCAAAGCAGAATACAATGGTAGATTCATAAATCACAAGGAACTTTGAAAAGGATTCAACATAGGGTTTCAAGCAATAGAAATTGGTTTATAATAAGGTGTAAGCTAAGAAGGAAGTTAGGTTAGACGACGTTTGACGAATGGATATAATGATAATTTGATAAAAGTGGTCTTTTATGCCATTGGCTAAACCTATGTAGAGATATAGGTATCACACAAGAAAGAACCGATCATGAAAAAAATCTCACTTGTCTTCCTAGATGCTTGGTCTTTCATACAAGCTCTCCGACATATATCGCTAAAGGAGACGGTGGTTGACTACTTCTATCTCGTATATAATTTTCCATGAAATGAAGAGTCAAACTAGTAAATTGCATCCCACATTCTCACTCATCATCATAGGTTATCATGCATCCAACTTGCACCATTTATGTATCAAAGTCAACAATTCTCCCAATTCCAAAATAAAAATAAAAAGTTGCCATTATGATCATGAAATGTTTTTAGCTTTGTTTTCAACATTAAAAATAGGTATCCATAAATTACACCCATATACACTACAAATGGAGATGAGAGCGAAGTTAGGAATGAGCTACCGATAGATGAGAAATAAATGAATAAATATTAGAGTCACAAGAACTAAATGGTACTGTGAGATTATGACATATCACGTTCATTAGAATCACCCAAACTAATTATTCTACAATTAACAAAATAAAGCTAAGGACATTTAGACAACCAACAAAGAAAATGATAACGAATATCAAGACACAAAAGCAAAGAATTTCAAAAGCATAAACATTAAATTTGGTCAACGCACATGCCTGTAGCTAGTTTTATTTGTATTCAAATCCATATTGCTTGCATCTAGCCCAATCCATCTCGAATGTCGAAAATAATGACCCTCAACCATATTCCCAATTTCAAACTATCAGTTTGACCTTATCATGGATATCGAATTCTCTCTCCGGAAAAATAGCTATAACATGTAACAGTGGAGGAAATAAGAATGTACCCCCTTATTAAGGGGTCGTTTGGATGAGGAATTGTAACGGATCAATTTGACACAATTGTCTCGTTTTGAGACAATTGTACCAAATTGCCTCGTTTGCCAGCAAAAAATTTGGATGGATCAATCTGCCTGAGGTATTTTGAATTGATCTGTTTTGAGTCAATTTCAATTACCTGGGGTGAGGGCAGGTAATTCGAATTGATTCGTTTTAATTGCCTCGTTTATAAAACGAGACAATTGATCAAATTGACTAATTTCTAGATTGATCCATCCAAACGACCCCTAAGTTTTTTTTCATGTGCCGATGTATTATCTGTAATAATTATGGTTGCATGGATATGACATCAAATCCCATTGTTGTATCTCAATTTTAATCATAAGTTTTCTGCTCATACCCATGGAACAAATTAATCATAATGAGGTTAACTATCAAAAACATTACCAACCTATTAAACTAGAGTAACTAATCATCTTTATTTGAAAAATTAACATGATCCCTATAAATTTATTACTAGCATAATGGTGGATTCACATCTCCCACACTAGTAACTGAGAGACACAATTATAACTCGTCATTAGACCTTTCAGTCTATTTTGATCCTGGTTTCCTGGATATATAAAAGAATATGATTAATGGGTTCTCCTAATTCATCATCTTTTATTATCACATGTGTACTCTTCTAAACTTTTATTATCCTGAATCTTCCTTATCAAATATAAGCTATAAATCTATCACCATTACTAACAAACCTTCCGGTAAAAATATTCCAAGAATATGACGAGAGGAGCAGCATGCTTCACCAAGCACAAAAATATGGAAGTCCTTTCCATGCATTGGCTAAAGATGACATAAATGTCGACTACATTGTTCCTGAAATCCATACTTGGGAACATGATTTTTATGCCATTGGGAATGCAGCAATGTTGGGGGCATTTGGATCGATGTATATGTAAATTTATAT